AATTCATAGTATACTGCTGCCTACTGCAGTAGAATACGAACGTGACGTAGCTTTTCTCAGTTGTTTTAGTATCTGCATCTCTGCAAGCCTCAATTTTGCATTGCAGCCTCGTTGTCGCGATGTCAGATATCTTGAACGTCGTGACGTGAAGCCAAAATTGACCTGTTTTTCCAAACGTTAATCGCGAAATAGAGACTAGTGTTGGACATCGTATTCTGGCAGGAGGCAGAAAAAGTGTCGAAGTGCTCTTGATTTCTTTAGCATTGACGGCTAATAATTGCTCAAGGACTCCTACTTTTTTCGAACTAAAAACTATTAAACTTTGAACAGTTAGTGTTCGAGCGACATTGGTATTGTTCTTTACAGCGTTTCTGCCTTCTTCGCCTTGAAAGTCAAAAGGGTGCAAACTATCTTCTCAAATGTTTAGTCTTGCTCAAAGACACAATTATACAACAAGAGAAGACGAAGACAAAAAGAGACAAATATGTTAGCGCTCACCCTGAAAGCCTTCAGTTAAACGACAGTAGACTATCTAATATGAAGTCTGAAGTCAGAAGCATTACTTATCAGTTGACTGCAAATTCCTCCCCTACGCGACTTAACCATGACCGACTGGAAAACCGGCTAAGAGCTTGATACGGTATCAGCTCCTTAGCCAACGATGTGCCTTTCCTTTCATTGGATGAGAAGCGCAACGTATCTCAAATGCTCTAAAAGTGTTTCAGGTTTGCACTGCCGAGCCATGTTGTACATATCATTTTTATGGACAGCTGCGATGAACACCTAGCAAAGTAGAGAATTTGGGTTTTTCAGTTTATCTAGATGCTCTCTGCTTGAACAATCAGAGCTCCTCATATCGCCTGTGTGCTACTTACCACATGTTGAGATCGATCACACGGGATACATGCAATCTGCTTTCCATATAGACCTACGCAAGAAGGTGCTGTGCAAACGCTGTCAGAAATCCAAATGAGCTAAGTTGCTAATTTAGGTAGGTGACGGAATGTTCACAACTGCTTATGAGGTTTTGCAAGCCTGGTGCAAACTATGGCCGCAGTATAGTCCCCTCAGTAGAGATCACCTTGAGAGTGCGTCAGGTGAACTCGCTCCAAGGCAGGCAAAATACAGGGGAACAATTGATTGCAAAGATCCATGGCATGCACAATTAACTTCAACTAGTCTTTTGCAACCTCGTCGTGTCAAGTATTGGTTGTTCAATGGTTGAGGTGGCGGCCATTGAGCAACAGACCATGGTTCGAATCCGCTCAATGGTAGACCCTTTTGCCAATTTGTATGAGTTACATGAAGGATCAAAGGTGCACCGTAAAGTTGTAGACAGAACGGTTTCGAACCAAATCATTGATTAGGAGTGAATCTTGGATAAATCAATGGCCAAAGCTGCACTTGTGGGTTGGTGATGCTCCACAATTGACGCAAAAGTAGATATCGTCAGGGGAGCTTGTACGTTGGTTCCGAGCAACTTACGAGTTCCCCTGAGGGACTCTCAAAAAACACACACTACGAACTCCTTTGAATGACCCGTTAGGAACTCTCTCCTTAGGGGCTCAGTTCATCTCATCGCAGCACCTCATATGACGGTGGTCCTTCCGCGGACTTTGTATCCTTATACCATGGCGGATCGTGATCATGTGAACTCGGTGGAGTTGGACTAGCCCCGTCAGGTCAGATCATCTCACCTGACAGGAACATTACTACGGGCCTATGTCTGACGTTGAGATCATCTGCGATGAAGGAGATGCAAATGGGATTCCTGGTGGATCGAGCAATGCATGAGTTCAGTAGCAATAGCGCGCCTGTCTATATCTAAGTGCCTGTCAAACTGCCCAAACTAAATGACTAATTGAAGGACCGGGTTACCGCATAGCAAATGTCTTCATACTGCTACAGATGCAGAAC